AAACGGAGGCAGAGGCCTCGCGATGTCGAAACTAGCAATTTCGAAGCTCCACAGTCGAGCGGAAAGTCGATAAGCCTTATTGGCTGGACACATCTCGGGAGAGGTTTGTTGCAGACAGCGCCGTGAGGAAGATCAATGAATTGAAGAGGAACCGGTTGAACCTTATTACAAGCAGAGAATTCTACTGTCATTGTATGAGAGTGGCCGTCCAATTAAAATAACTTCCGAGTCAACCTGAAGACCGTTTTATTGAACTTTCGCTTTTGGAGGTAGTTAAGTCACTGTTTGCAGGAATGCAGCAAGTGAGTCCCGTGTATCTTTATGCCACAGACAAGTAGGTCCGAATTCCGAAGCTCTTGCATCGAATTAAAAGTCGAGTTGGGCAGCATAGGAGGGGAAAGCAATATCATCGTGAGCTTGATGCCAGTCGTTGCTTGCTAAGAACGGAAACACTTAAGTATAACTGTATACATCTAAGATAGCATGAATTTTACCGGAGAAGACGTCGCAAAAGGTATAAAGAGGATACACGAGAAATGCAACTATGCCAGTTTGCCAGGCCAACTCCGCTTAGAAAATCACATGGAAAAATAGGAGAAATACACCGGAGAAAAAGAAAAATGAGATTGCCGAATTCAGCAATGGCAAAGTTCTTCAAACTTAATAGGTTTGAAGATATAAAGACAAGAATGGTGCGGCCTTTTTTATGGTCGCAGTCTTCCTTCGATGTATATAAGTGTAATGACATCGTTTTGTAATTCGGTCGTGCTGTCAAGACGACATAGACGCACCTGGTCAGAAGTCTTCTGCTTCTACAAGGACAGAAAGAGTCAAGCACAACCATTTCGGCAGAAAGTTGCCAAGGGATTAACTTCACTTGTCTCTTTGACGGGTTGTAGCTTGGTTCTAAGACTGGCAAGATGCACTGACGATGCCGACGAAAGGTTTGGCAATGTACCAGGTCCGACACTAGGAATGATTATAATTACTAGAGCAGAGAGCTTACTCACCCTGAAAACAAAACTAAGTTGCGAAAACGAGGTCGGCCCACTTTAATTATAAGCCCGAAAGAATTCTGCTTTGCTTTTCAGTGATGCCAATCTAAATGT